GTTTTTGTGACAAATGAGGACATAAATTTGTATAATGACAAAGGTATGACAGGTATTACAAGGAGAAGGTGACTTTTCAGGACATTACCCCATGTCCCCACTTTTCAAAACGCTTATAAATCACACAGAATGGAGTGTATTGAAAATCTGAAATAGCAGAAAGTCTCCTGTGAGGGGTAGGTTTAGGGGTAGGGTTGGTGTAGGGCAATATAATATACGGCACCTAGGGAGAGTCACCACTTTTGACAGAGAGCGTATGTGTGTGTGTGTGTGTGTGTGTGTGTGTGTGTGTGTGTGTGTGAGAGAGAGAGAGAGAGTGTGTGAGAGTGTGAGTGTTAATGGCCTCGTTCACTCTGCTCGGATCATTTACTGAAGCATATCATGGTACTTAAACAAATACCATAGTAATACCATTATTCATGTCCAGAAGCGTGGTGTCGTAAATGGGAGGTTTTTGTGAATGCTTAACATTTGTATTTTTACAATAGTACGTACACAGTACTGACTAAGTCTATGTAAAAAGTTTTTGAAGAGTGTGAAACTGTGATTGTGGTCCAAACACTGATCAGTGAGTTTGAGCATCATTATCAGTCTGACACTGATTTGGCCAATGGCGTGCGTTGGGGGCGGGGCTATCCTTTAGACTGACCAATGGCAGATGGGTGGGTTTGAAAACCGGTCGTTATTTTTTGCAGCTCTTTTGGGGCCAGATTCACTTATCTTCTACTGATTGAGAGGAAATACTGCAGTATATTGACTTAGAATGCCCTATTTTATTTTGTGGTATTGTAAAAAATTAATATCATAACAAAAATAAACGGTATGAACTGGTATACCGCCCAGCACTAGACAAAGGCATCGCTACTATAGCTGTAACTGAGTAATCAGAACATATAAACGTTTTGAATGATAAAACAAAGACTATAAACACTCGACTGCTACAATATAGTTTATCTGTGTTATTCAAGCCATCTGGTATTTGCATAATAATTAAGTATATTTATAATCCTTTGCTAATCGATGTATTCTTTTTAAAGTAGCATATAGAACATATTTTCTGCCTCGTTCTGTGACGAGAAGTATTTTTCTAAATAATTAATACGATTTTGTATTCCCTAAAATGCTTCCTAATAACGTTCTTACCTTTTTTTTTCTTAATATTTTGTGTTATGAAACCATAAACGTTCTCTTAAATCCTTAATTATTATATAATTCACATTGATTTACATTTATGCATTTAGCGTTCAAGCAAAGCAACTTACAAAAGAGGAACAAACATGAATTAATTGGGATGTTTCAAATATTAAGCATTATAAAACTGTGAAACTTGCATATAATGTGTGTATTTAGCAACTGTGCATAAGCTTTCCCGTGCACGTCTGTGCATTTGTGTCGTATTGTCATTATTAAGAATCCTGAGATTACTTTCCTAAACTGCTTGTTTTTGTTTCTTGTCATTTTCCTTCCTTAACCAAATAGTTTCCAGGATATGATGGTTAATGTTGTTAAATGAAAATAACTGCTGCTTTATCATTGGGAAAAAATGATTACTTTAGCTGATTCACAACGGTTAGCTTATAATAATGTTTTCTAGTTTGAGTGGTAGGGGTAGGTTTTCGTGGGGAATTCGAGCATGGCACTGCGTCATTACGTCACGTCTGTAAACACAAAGAAGCTGTCCCGGCTGCTAGGCTGCCGCATGTGAGGATCCTGCAGGTGACGGATCGTTTATAGCCTGTTCTCACAGCAGCCGGAATAATTAAATGTATCATTTTGATGGCGGATTGTAATCCAGAAAGGATTATGTGTTTATGAAACACATGTGAATGAAATTAAATTACTTTCCAGTTATAAATGTGCTTCTGATTACAGATAGCCTGGGATTACACAAGATTTGTATTTTAAAGAAAACCAGTTCGAAGGGAGCATAATTTGCTTTTTGGGCTCTTTATGAAATTCGAAGAGTATGACGATTAGATTAGACTGTGCAGAAACTGAAATCTACACACTAATACACACTATACTCATAGTCACCAATGCTGATGTTAACATTAATAATTTGAGAATAAAGTATAACAATAATAATAATTTGCACGGTTTGATGTGATATGAGCTCATTTAGATTTAATCACCATTGGTAGCGCGGTTTATTGTGATGTTTTTTTCCTCCGTTGGTCAGAACAAACGTGGCAGACTTGTTACTTACTCGTTCAGATGACAGTATACGGTGAAAATGCTTATTTGGGTCATATATTCTAAGACGTAGGCTAGAATCTGTGCTTGTGAAGTACAGTAAATATCCACCGGTGCGGTGACTGACTCACACACACACACACACACACACACATACTCTTCAGAACATTAGATTCATCCGCGCTGGAGCCGAGCCGGAGCACAACCCACGTAATGAAGATAACTCCTCACACAGCTGCAATTCCAGGTTTTCAAACAGAGATGGCGACAATGAGGCAAAACTTACGGACTGCAGCTTTAACACTACTGAAAAATATTCAAGCAGCAACTTTTTCAGTACTTTTTAAGAGTTTTTCAAGAATCGCACGTTCCTACGAACCTCTGAAGGGCTTCGCGCAATGACTCAGAAATTTTCGTATGCGTTTTTTCGTATTCATCATTGAAAACAGTGCATTTGTCGGACTCTGTGTGCAAAGACCTTTAGAATTCATCTTAAGAATTGTAACTTTTTTTCTCTTCCCGCAGAGAGCGTGTTCGCTAGCCTTCCGCACATGGAAAGGGGCGTGGCCAAGGTCCTGGGCGGAGACCCCAAAGGGAACAACTTCCTGTACACCAACGGCAAGAGCGTGATCATCAGGAACATCGAGGTGAGACGCAAGGAATATCTGGGGTTCAGTGATGAAAGACAATGTTTTTAAAAACTGTTCTGTTTGTAAAAAAACAAAAACAAGGAAGAATTACGTTTATCGTAACGCATGTATAGGGGAAGTTTATAAAAGGGTCTTAAAGCATATTGTTGTGTAATTATGTATTCTATCGTAATTGTACAATATGGTATTTTGTACATGCAACATGCAAAAAAACAAAACAAATTTACCATCAATACAGACGCTGAATTAGGGCTTCGACTATGACAAAATCATAATTGTCCGTTATTCCCTTGAAATTGTAATTGCGCTTATTAATTACAATTATCACAATTTACATTAAATGATGTTTATACTATTGTTTGACGCAACTGCATGCCATATTTTTATATAAAAATAAACAAGCTGAAAACACTCTTAAGTGAGGAACTTGTTGCTTTTCTGTAGTATTAAGCCTCAGATGTCAACTATACATTGGATTGGTTTCTTCTTTAAATGGAGAAGAAATGAAAGTAACTTCCCCAGCGCTGCTGATGAGTGTGTCTGCGCAGGTTCGGCGCGGTGTTCCTCTGGGATTCGGGCTCGTCGGTCGGAGAGATCGTGGGTCACAGTAAGATCATCAACAGCGTGGACATCAAGCAGACGCGGCCGTACCGTCTGGTGACCGGCAGCGACGACAACTGCACCACTTTCCTCGAGGGGCCGCCCTTCAAGTTCAAATGCACCATTAGCGTAAGCGCATGCATTCTTTCTTTACTCAATATACCTCAGTTTCCACGCAGACACTAGCGTACTCGTTCAGCCGAACAAATGCACTGTTTTCACTATAACTCTTTAAGTTATAGTGTTGAGCAATTAAAAATGCGCTCTTTTAAACTAGAGTTGCGTGAGTCTCTGAAGCGCCTCATGAGCGCTTCTGTATGTGTTCTTGCATCTCTAGTGGGCTGTTGTTATGTTTTCGACTGTGCAGCGACGGCTCGAGAACTACTTGTGGAGCAGCTAAAAAAATAAAAAATCATGCATAAAATCCAAAGTATAGCTTTAGGCCAGGGGTTCTAATTTTATTTTGTTTATGTTTTAATAATTTAACAACAGCTAAACATGTTCACAGTTTTCTGATGTGAGGTAATGGTCACATATTACATGCAAGGAAATAAAAGTTTATTTATTTATTTTTTATGTTTTATTTTGACTTTGTTTGGACTGGAATTACTATTATATTATCGTTGTTTAAAATTTAATTCTAAAAAGAGATGCGCGTGTGTGTGTGTGTATGTATGTATTACTGTTATAAATTACAAATGTACTTTTGAAATAAAATTTTTAAAAATGTATTAAAAATCAGTTAAAAAGTAATTTTTATAATTAGGGTTGCAAAAGGGGCGGCAAATTTCTGGTAAATTTCTAAAATTTTCTGAAAGTTTCCAAAAATATTTTCAAAATTTCCACCCCTTTGCAACCCTGATTATAATTTTTTTTTTAAAAAGTTAGTACAAGTTACTAACTCTAGAGCGAAGCTGCGCTCGCATTACGATAGTTTATCCAGATGTTCATCTTTCTACTGCAAGCCCAGAGTGAATGCTGTGATGTTGGTTTGCAGGATCACAGTCGCTTCGTGAACTGCGTGCGGTTTTCTCCGGACGGGAATTGTTACGCTTCGGCCGGAGCCGACGGACAGGTGAGGCGTTTATCCTGATAATTAACAGATTCCTTCACATTTGTTCATTTGACCAGAGGCTCTTCTGAAGTGCCTTGTAGTGCATTAGCACAGGCTGCAGCAATATGGTTAAAAACATGTCATTGCAGTTTGTTTATTTATTTAAAATTTAAAAGCGTTTGGTTTAAAGAGCTTCAGGTTTGTTGTTCTTGTTTGTAGGGTTGCACAACTTAATATTGCAAAAATAATATTGTGATTATATATCATGAATAATGAAAATTGAGTATTTAATTAAAAAAGAATTAAAAATATATAGTACAAAGGTAAATTTTCAATATTGATATTTACATATTATTATTATTATTATTATAATAATTATTATTATTTTTTATTTTTTTCAATCATTAAGTGTTGAGCATTTATTTTGCATTGTTCACCCCTGTTTCTGTCTCCTGCTCAGATTTTCCTGTATGATGGTAAAACTGGAGAGAAGCTGGGGTCTCTGGGAGGAGAGAAGGCTCACGATGGAGGCATTTACGCTGTGAGTGTTCGTCAGTGTGACGCAGGAGGAGGATGAGGATGAGGAGGATGATGATGATGATGCTGCTCTTCCTCAGGTCAGCTGGAGTCCTGACAGCACGCAGCTGATCTCGGCGTCAGGTGATAAGACGGTCAGACTGTGGGATGTGGGCAGCGGCGTGGCTGTCTCCACCTTTAACCTGGGCTCAGATGTTCAGGACCAGCAGCTGGGCTGCTTGTGGCTGAAGAACCACCTGCTCAGTGTCTCTCTGTCTGGATACATCAACTACCTGGACAGGAGCAACCCGGACCGGCCGCTGCGCACCATCAAGGTGAGACACCGCCTGCTGCTTCAGCTGCTCTGAGATCAGCAGAGTGACGTGTTATTACTGTGTTATCACACAGGGACACACCAAATCCATCCAGTGTCTGACGGTCCATAAGGCGGACGGTCGATCCAGCATCTACTCAGCCAGCCACGACGGACACATTAATATCCTTCAGTGAGAAGAAGCTGACATTATTGAATGTTACTCACTTTGCAATAAACAAACAAAACGCATGATGTAGTACAGCAGAGAGCAGTTAGAATGACACCAAAGGTGAGTGTATGTGGCCAAAATATGACTTATTCTTATACAGTGATAAACTGATATTTCCTACTAACACACTACAGCAAAAGACAGAAATATCTGACTTAAAACCACTTTCTAGCTGCTGAAATACTAGTGTTTTAATAATTTGCCGCTACTGTACTTCCATATGATATAGTTAATCAATATTACGAGCAATTTTGCTGTTTTCCCGAATAACAGCATGTTTGCAAATGTGATATTTTATACAACAGTAAGTCAATATGGTGGCACAGTATTGTCAATATTTTGTTTTGCATCTCTGAACAACACGCAGCAGTGCTTTGTTACTGAATGAATCTGTGTTTTTGAATGAATCAGTTGAGTGAATGATTCAGTGACTCGCCGCCACTGACTGATGGTTTTAGTTTCTTATTTAAAGCATCATTTAATTAAATAAAAATAATTAAGAATCTTATAGAATTATGCAGCATGAACTCAAGCTGAATGAAACCGTAAATGCCACATCAAATGCAGCTTCTGAAGTGCAAAGATGGATTTGGTTGATATGGATTTTAATGAATTGGTAAAACCTTATAGTGTTTTATTATTTGAACTGAATTTATTGATTAAATATAAAAATTTTACATGAAAGATAATGTATACATCTACAACTGCCCTTATTTTGGTAAAAATACGAGAGGCCAAAACCAGCACAAAAAACACGCCAAATATAGTGTAGTTCCCGTTAGAATATGGCAGAGATGTGATTTGTGGTGAGAGTGTCAGTCCTTGACCTGATCTGCACATTACTGGGACTCTGAGAGCGGCGAGAACGAGGAGTTTGTGGGTAAAGGACACTCAAACCTGGTGTCCAGGATGACTGTGGACGAGTCCGAGCATCTGGTGACCTGCAGCATGGACGACACGGTCCGCTACACCGACCTGAGCAAGAGAGAGTACAGGTGAGCCTCACACACACATTAGGGCTGTCAAGACAAATTTGAATTTCGAATATTCGTCGAATTTAAAATAAAAGCCCACATTCGAATGCCAAAACATTGCATTCGAATTTTCGGTGTGCATCAGGCAGCTTATCAGTGAAGCACAAACTGTGACGACGACGTAAGTGTCATTGCATTTGAATGCTTTTATTAGTCTATCCAGTTGAAGCCACTAAATGTGGCGCTGCTACGTTGTTCATTCAAAATATTGCAGAAAAAGAGAACATCAATGCGGAGATAATGTTGTTTGTCAAAACTGAAACCAAGCCACACATTTATTGCATTTTCTAGAGGGACATCTATCAGTGTTGCACTCGCGTCTCGCACAAGAGAGCGGCATGTCTAGAAAGCCATGGAAAATTAATATAAGTTCAACTTTTTAAAAACGTGTCTCAAGACATTATGGCGGTTTTCCCATCCCACTTCATCTTATGTTTTTAAATGAAGAAAGTAGCCTACTCTTTGTGATTGGTTATCGGACCTTTGTATTAAACTATACATTAGGGGTCGACCGATTATCGGCGCCGATATTAAGCATTTTTATGATTATCGGTATCGGTCATTTTCAAAACCGATTCGCCGATAAAATAACTTAATTTTGAAATGCGCTATTTGGCTGTGATGCAGCCTGTCAGAACTCACCACTCTGTGGCCTAAAGCAGTCTCCGCTCACCGCTCATCTGATTTGTTGGGAGTCACGAGTCCGACCAATCAATGCGGAATTCACGCTCACTCCGAAAGCGCTTGCTAACTGCAGCTGCTTCAGTGATCACGCATCCGTTGTCTCTCAAAGGTAAGGCAACAGCAGACATTGCTTAAAGGTGCAATAGATCCCAATCCACTAACGTTACACTGAAGTTGCAAAACACCTCAATAGTATTATTTCCGCGATGCAGAAAACGCGGATGGAATCGCGGAATCCAGTCATATAAATTAAATTTACTGTATGATGCGGAATGTCACGGAATTTGTCAAAATTTGGATGAATTAATCAAAAGTAGGACAGTACACTTAAATAGAGTCGCGATATGGACTAGTATCTGTAAATATTAAGCCGCAAAAATACTATTTAAATATGGATCCAGTATGTTCTGCGTGTCTGTGTATGTAAACGGCACAGACGAGTTTTCTACACATACAGAGTGTGCGATGCTCACGCTGATTTCAGCTTCTGTCGTATCACTACATGAGGACATAAATACATGAACAACATCTCCAGAACTGCTCTGATCCCTCCGAGAGTCACTTCATGAGCATTTGACAGTTTCATTGGAGTAAAACTATCTTCATATCATTTACATAGACCTACAGAAACACGTTCCCGATGGCAACCCGTCAAAATATAAGTCCGGGTTAGCTTAAAGAAATGATCAGAAATATGTTACTGTGCTGCAGTATGATGTACATAACACTACTCCGGGATGAAAGTTTTCCGTCACGGATTTCTGTCAGTTGGAAAAAATGAGGGGAAAAGAAACATGTAGCACATTGTTGTTGTTCTGCTGGTGTTCTGACGATTTGTTGGTAGCATAATCTGATAGGTAGCATTATTTGTCAGAACACCAGCACACCAAACATCC